AAAACCCGTCTTTTTGGAGGCAAGAAGGCTAGCAAGAACGGCGCTGGAGCCAACAACAACGGGCCGATCTACATGTACCGCGAAAGCGACCCGGGCACCCTGACGGAGAAATGCAACGAGTTCCCGCGCATGACCGGAAGCACACCAACCGCCCATGACATCCTGCTGAGCGGCGAGATGAATGAGGCCGAGCGCAGGAAGTTTGACACTCTGAACGACAGCCTGGAGGATGAAGAAGAGGACGAAAGGTACGACCATTTCAGCGGACTGCCGCCCAGCTACCAAATCCACCGGCACGAAGACGAGTGCGCACCTTACCTGGACGACGACATGGAGTCCCAGCGAGACGGGTCCATCATCTCCCGGACAGCCATTTACGTCTAGAGGAAGCAGATAATACACCTGACTGATATTTACTTGACCTTTTAAAACAAAAACACAGAAACTTGCCATCTGAGGAGCGGAAGCATAACGGTTAAAGTCGTTTACATCTGTAGACGAAAGCACTCATTATCAAACTGAAAACACTAATTAATGCTACTTCTCTCACGATGTGTACTTTTAACGCATAATACTGACTAAAAATAAGAGTTATTTGGTTGTTGTGTAACTGTAACTTCTTGTTAACGCCCATTCTAGCCAGAATCCATCTTTCGTGGTTGATTCACTCCCATAAGCACAATACTCAAGTTGGCTCTTTGAAGTGAAAAGAAAGCCTTGTGATTAACCATACAGGATTGTCAATGCTACGTCGCACGAGTGGCTCAGCAAGCTGTGACCTAGAAGCTAAGGCCGCTCTCTCCAGGTTGCAAACGGCAGGCTTCCTTTTTCAAATCCCGCGAATGTCGTCTTCGAGGACAGCTGGATGTTTTGTTAGCGAAACAGGCAACGCAACGCTCGCTCCAGCATCTGGGTCATTCATCTGTGGCACCGATCAACTCCAGCTGTGAACGCTTTTAACTTTCCCCCACTATTTTTTAGCTCTCGTTTATTAATCGGATGTCTTGTTACGCTAAAGGAATTTTCTGAATGACTCGAGGGGTTCTAGGCAGAGGCGTAATAGTGTTTTTGTTTTTTACTCTCCTGTCAACCTCTGCAGAACGGCTTGTTCCGGGCCATGTTTAATTCAGAAGAGTGTTGTGCATTAGCCGCGTGTGTTTTTGGCTGATGCATGTTTTTCCCAACCCCTGATTAATCCAGTTATATGAAAACCATAGAACGTAACATCTAAAAACTGCAGACAGGAGCACGACTAGCTTCAGCACAAATCCTTCCAGGAGGAAATAGGCTTGGAGTCTATACTGCAACTTCACTAAAACAGATTAAGTAGATTTATGCACATCGTAGATTGGCGGCAAAGGCTGGGCCTTGAGAGAAACGCAACTGATGTGCTTTTGAGTGTGGGATTATGTGGACGGCGGAGCGCTTGACGGACCTCAGCGGGGAGCGTTAAGCCAGGCGGCATATGCTGCCCGGTTCAACGGAGTCCACGGTGTTGAAACACTGCCAGCTGTGAAAAAAGGTCAAGGGGCGCAGCGCTCTCACCGTATGTTTGGCAGCGAGATTAGGCCACTCGCTTTACCGAGTCCCTCTAGAGACGGTCAGCGGTTTGTTTTGAAGCCTTGCGCATAAACCGACTTTTTTTTTTTTTTTTAGACTACAAAAAAAGACATTTCGGACAACTATGATGAGTGTGTAACAATGTGCGTCCGGATGTGGATTCATTAGTCTCTGGGTTGTCGGCGAGCGCGTGCTTTGCATAATATCATGCCGCTTGTATGGACGCTTCGGCAGTGTTTTGCTCGAGCCGTGACTCATTCATCCTTGGTTTCACAGCATCGAGCCTTCGGTGGAGGGAGGTTAGAGCGATAATGACAAAGGAGCAACACACTCACCGATGCGACGCTACCCAGACAGAACTCCATATCCAGCGAAGCAGATATAGCATGAGTAATTTGGAGATTATACTATCTGGACCCAGTGACTGTAAAGGCGGTAGTTACTCTAGCCTACAGTGTTCACCCACGCTGCAGACTTGCAAGGCTGTTAATTTTTATCCCCCCTCCCTAAACCTCTTCAAGTTGCATCACTGCACTGAAAAATAAGGATGGCAAAGCTACTTTTCTGAGAGCTGCTGAGGCCTTGAAATATTCAGGCTGATAACGACGACAAAAATGAAGAAGTGGAGAGAGAAAATGGGGAGCTTATATTGCGCCAGTGAATATTGTGTTGTTAGCAGTAGCAAAGGTATTAACTTCACCTGTTTAGTATGAATTTGGAGTCAATGTCAGGCAGATTCATGCATTCAGAGAGGCCTGTGATGTATTGTGAGTTACTGTGCTGAACGTTTGGCTTTAAAATGCTATTCGAGACTTGAGAATACTAAAAGAGTTGCCAAATCAAGTTTTCACAACTTTTAGTATTAGTGTTTTAATAGAATCTTTTGTTGAACTTCTCTGAAATGTATTATGGAATATTAGTGTTAAGGGTTACATAGTGATGCCTTGTTCTCATTCGCACAATCCCAAGGCTACATAAAGATTAATTATTGAAATAATTGGGCAAAACTTACAAAGAATATGTCTAGGTCACATTTTACTGCAGAATCAAGGGAAATAATTAAGGAAGTTTATTTTGCATAAAGAATCTTATGTTTTATTGTAAATTATGGTGATTTAAATTTTAAGAAGCCATTACAGTGTCTTTTTTTGTTGTTGCTGTATACAATAAAGCATCTGTTTAATAAAGCCACAATGCAAAATAGGCCCCATTTACTTTATGTAACGTAATTTAGCAGATTTTAAATTTTGGAGTGAAATATGACCTGGACTTCACCTGGTAATATTTGGAGATGAAAGATACCATCTATCCACATGTTCTCAATATTACGAAAAAAAAAAAAAGAGTATGTTTTGATAAGCTGATGTAAGTGCCTTCTGGGATGTGTTTTAGGGTTGGAAGCTCGCCGCAATTCATGCAATGTTGAAATCCTATATATTGTAAATTAATGCCAGACTTAAAGACTGCAATCAATCAACAATATTAAGAAAAGAAGAAAAACAAGACCGCCTGAGCAACGGCAAATTGTCCCCACGTGATGCTTCTTAATTGCTCCGCATTATGGTGCAAGTCATTATTAACTCATCAGCCGTGGCGCTGATTATTCATTCACTCTGAATGTTGTGTTGTGTTGTCAGGTTGTGACACTGTGTGTGTGAAAAACACTCGAACAGATCGCTTCTGCCTGACGTCTTTTGTGTAAAAACTGCAACAGGTTCATATCACATCACGTAACTGCTGTATTACAACAAATCTTTGTCAGAACTTGTGAGAACAAACTATACTGTCTTCTTTTTGTTTAGTTTGTTATATACTATGGATGGAAACCAGTGCTATCCTGTGAGGTGTTGATGGTGTGTATCTTGACGTGATGTGTCCTGTGTGTGAGATATATATATATATATATATACTGTATATGTATGTATTTATCATCAAGAAAAAGTGTTATTTATCGGTACTGTAAATAACAGATGTAGTGGTCAGTTCTGGCCAACGTTAAATCTAAAGCAGATGTAGTATACAGTAATAGCCCAGAGTAGACAAGAGAATAACCTCAGCTGCCTTGAGTTGGTGATTTAGACCGGCGGGAATCAGCAGATGTAGCTTCCCAGACGCACACTAGTTAGTAACTGGCACACAGCCTGCGATGAAAGTACAGTACGGATTGACGTTCGCACACAAACTTTTTGCACTGACAACCTTTCGCTCTCTCAACCCTCAACAACATGACGCACACTCTCACCCCTCAACATGACAAGATGTCAACACTAGATAAACACACACACACGTACTCGACTGTAGCGGGTGAATCTCGTGCTCATATCCTGGTCATATGATGCCTGTGACTCAAAGAAGAGAAATAAGAAAGTACTTTCTGTTTAAGGACAATTGTAGCAGGACATTTCTAAATGTTATTTTCAGACCTGGAAAGTATGAAAAATAGTGACTTTTTTTTTTTTAAGTCCTGGATTTATAATAATAATAATAATAATAATAATGATAATAATAGTTAAATTATAAATGTATATACAAAATATAAAATAAAAAATATATTACTTTAAAATGAACAATTAAAATAGAAATGCTTTAATAGTGTAGAGTTTACATTTTAATTGAGTTAATTTGGTAAATTTTATATTTTGAATATTTAAAAAAAAGTTATATTTTGAATATTTTAATAATTACGACAAATAATTCATTTGAAAATAAAATAAAATATCACTTCAAAATTAACTCAAGTAAAATGTAAATGCTTCAATTGTGTTTTGATTTGAGTTATTTGTATTTTATATTTTGAATATTTTAAAGTTATATTTTGAATATTTTAATAATTACGACAAAGAATTCATTTGAAAATAAAGTAAAATATCACTTCAAAATTAACTGAGTTGTGTTAATTGTGTTTTGATTTGAGTTATTTGTATTTTATATTTTGAATATTTTAAAGTTATATTTTGAATATTTTAATAATTACGACAAAGAATTCATTTGAAAATAAAGTAAAATATCACTTCAAAATTAACTGAGTTGTGTTAATTGTGTTTTGATTTGAGTTATTTGTATTTTATATTTTGAATAAATGTACATTTTTTTATATTTTTAATATCTTAATTATGGCAAAGAAAATGGGCATTATTTGTTTCTTGACTGTAATGATGTTAATTTTATTACATTTTATTTAATCAAACTATTATTTACATTTTAAAATATTTATTCAAAATACAAAATAAAAAAATATCACCTCCAACTTAACTCAAGTCAAATGTAAATGCTTTATTAGTATAAAGTTTACATTTTAATTGAGTTAATTTTGTAATTTATTTTTATTTAAATTTTTGAATAAATATTTTTCTAAAAATTAATATTTTAATAATTACTACGAATTTAGTTTGGCTTATAGTTATTATTATTATTATTATTATTATTTGTTATAATAATAATAATAATAATATTTTCTCCCTTTGATGTTGGGCTGCAATATGAAGCAGGCCATGATTTTCGTGAGATTGGCCCTCAGATCTCCCCGCACACACTCTGGCCATCCAGGATTTATTCTCCGCAGTTAAAAGCTACGTGAGAAACTATTACGCTGACGTACACCAGTATTATCCCGTTTAGTGAAGGACATTATCAAGATTCATGCAATTTCCTCACCAGTCATGTGGTTTTATAACCCTGAAAGACTCCTCCAGATGAGGTGGGAACCGCTGGGGCTCTAATCTTCTCTGAAAACGGAGCCACAGCGGCCAGAACTCTGCCAGGTTACAAACCAATGTTTCTGGCATGCAATTACGCAGCCTGTCCGCAACCACTACTCTTAATTTTTGACAACAGAAATGGGTTATGGCATCTCCAGTTTGCATCTGCCTCCAGTTTCAAAGCAACTCGGAGCCATTAGACGAAATTACGACTCCACACGTGTTTTCATGGCCTGTTCCCTCTCATCAGCTACTTGTGAATATTATAAATAAATTAGAGAACTAGCAAACGCATTACTAATTGATACGCAGCCCTGCAGTACCTCCACGCCGTCCGGTTGTTTTGCTGCTTTTTTGTTTTCATTGTGTAAGATATTTAGTCTGTTTTAGAGGAAGAGGATGCTTTAGCATCACAAAGATGTGATTAGCGCTAACAAAAACACTTGTGTGGTGTGTTTATTTGGAGCGGAAACAAAAGCGTGTACATTCCAAGTCCCATTATTGTCCTGTCACATTATTTTTGTATACTGGTTGTAATTAAAAAAACTGGTGGATTTCTAAGTGCTTTGTCTGGCGTATCCCTTGACTTGATATGTCTCTGCATCTTGTGTTTTGTGAATGTTTCCCTCTGCAAGTGTGTTTTTCTGCCTTCCAGGAGCTCTTGTGATGCAGCAGGACGATGATGCATGACTTACATAGCTAGTCTCCGACAGAAATTACATTCTGACCCCTGACTGACAAGTGAAACGCAATCCTGGAAGGATGTTGATGTGTTTTTTTGTGTGGCAGGGATAGCATGACGGGCGGCTAAACTACTTGAGCACACATCATAAAAAGTGGGTCATATGTTGAGAGCAGGATCAGCGGTGAGATGTGCTCCATTAGAGGTCAGATTGAGCGTGAAACGCAGTTACACAATTGACTGAAGCATGGCATCATGGTCACTTAGAATCAGTTGGGTAGAAGTTTTAATATGCATTTTATTTGTTGTTGTGTAATAGAATCAGGTAAATTTGCAAAAATAAGAAAGGTTTTTCCAAGAACATTGAATCAGAAGTCAAAAAGCTGACTATATATATAGAGAGAGAAGGCCGTTGAAATCAAACACAAGAGACCCGCGTTTCCATGTGGGTAACCAAGGCGATTTGAGGAAGTACCGCCCTGGAAACGTTTTTTAGTCGTTCTTTGCAACGATTGGTCAATTTGTGGAAACTCTGTTTAATCATTGGATGCTCCTATTGTCCGTCTGATCACTGCGAATACGCCCCTATTTCCCGTTTGTGTGCCGTTTGAAATGTTGTACTGGAACGAAGATGCGCCACTGTGAGTTCCACAAAACTCTTCTTCTGTATGAAGTGCAAATAAACTCCTAATTGTGAAATAAACATGCTGTAAACAATTGAAACATTTTATATATTATTTGATCCATGATGCATTTTCCTTTTCAAAACAAATGCTCTGAAGAGGAACCTATGAGTTGAGTTGCTGTTACACCAGGGATTGTTTATTTGCAGCACAGGAAAAACACCTGTCAAATTTCAGAAAAGTTTGCTGAAAACAGTAAGAGCAGCAATTTACGTTAGCATGTTATTTAATCTCTCAAATCAGAATTAAGAAGAAGATATTGCCACCCAAATTAGAGACACTTGGTTAACTGACAGTTTAATATCGAGCTGGTTGGGTTGAACCAGCAGCGTTGCTGTCAGCAGTTCAAAGTCTGCGCATTCATTCTCTGATCCCCAACAGTCGCGCTGTTCTAGTGATGGCAGATTCCAGTCCTCCTAAAACGCTGAACTTTAACGTTGGTGTCCTCGGCCATGTGGACAGCGGAAAAACGTCTCTTGCCCGTGCGCTGAGCAGCACCGCATCCACCGCAGCCTTCGACAAGAACCCCCAGTCCAAAGAGCGGGGGATCACGCTGGATCTCGGCTTTAGTGCGTTTACGGTGCCCTTACCGGAGCACCTGAAAGAATCCTGCGGGGACAGACAATACGACAGTCTGCAGTTCACACTGGTGGACTGCCCGGGACATGCATCCCTCATACGCACCATTATCGGGGGTAAGTGGGTAAATTAGTTGGTTTTTTTTTTACAATCAAACTGCAGGTTTTATGTTTGCGTGAATCAGTGTATAAATCATATAATTCACCACGCACTACTAACGTCTTTTAATTCCTGTTATAACTGTTATCATGTTATATATATATATATATATATGATTATAAATATATAAATTAAATTTTTTATAAAATTATTTACAGTGTGTATATATATATATATATATATATAGCTTAATATTGTTGTCAACTGTGATAATACAACTGTGGGAAATTCAAAAGAACAGCATTTAAAATAAAGATCTTTTAATTGCTGAATAAAAAGCATTAATTTCTTTAAACAAAAAAAAAAACTTACTGACTCCAAACCTTTATACGGTAGCATGTACATAACACAAATACATACCTAAGCAAACTCTGGCAGTCTAGTTGTGCCTGAGGGGTTCCAGAGGTAGCCTCCATCAGGATGTACACACAGGAATCTCACCCCTTTCCCGTTATCCTCCACTTGCTAATGGCTTTTGACAAACCTGCCGCCCGTTGTGGCCTCGTTCTCATTGAGCCGGCGAGACACAGCGAGCCTCCCCTCAGCCTTGAGGACCCACTTCAGGCACCGCATCTGTCGCCTTGACAACACTCTGCCACTGTTCTGTCACCACCTCCAGTCTCTCTCATTCCTTCTCTGCACAAGGACATGAGTCTGCACGCACTCGCCTCGGCTTTTGTGCCAAACACATACAAATTATTTTCCTAAAAACACTGACTACACTTAAAAATAAGAGTTCCAAAAGGGGCGGGGCCATAACAACCATAGACATTGAAAGAGACTAGTACCCCTCCTCAATATTTAGAAATTGCGAAACTGACCCTTTGCAAAGACCCGCTCCCCCTTACTTACTGTTAGGCTACTACGTCCGACAAGCCACGGCGCTCTCACGACACACATCGTTCTCACGCAGTAAAAAAAAAAAAAGCATCCCAGAGCAAAGAGGAAACTGACAACGCGCCATCAGACAAAACAGAGCAGGTTATTTAAGGTATAAAACAAAATCTCAACTGTCAAATGTTGTCTTTTTTTTAAAGAAATTCAAACAATAAATACCATTTTGTGGCTCTTTCATGTGTCGTGACAGATCACTGTAGAGCCTCAGTTCAAGCGGCACGTGAACCGATCATCTCTTCCTCATTACTAGTAATGGCTTGAAATAAACATGAATGAACATCAGAAGGTATCTTGTTTCAACCGCGTCAATATGCAACATTTTTCAAGTTCAAGTCCATCGACATTAGTCTACTCTCCTGTCTGGTTTATTTGTCAGACAAAATGTCAGATTCTGTGTCATAATTGGTCAGATTGCCTGTCAGTCAAACTCCCAACTTCTTATAATATTTGAAATTCTTGCACTGATCTGCTTCACTCCTTTACATAATGCCCTGTTTGTTGTTAGGATGACAAAAAGGTTTAACATTTACATATTTGGTCTGTCTCAGCATGGGCGTTTGTCAGCGTCAAATTGACTTGGATGGCCAATGAAATCTAAGTAGGCGGGGCTTGCGGGGCTTACAAGCAGAGCGTGAATTCCAGCGAGAATCATCAGTTAAAGGGTTAGTTCACACAAAAATGACAAAAATGATGCGTTTTACTCACCCCCGAGGCATCCTAGGTGTATATGACTTTCTTCTTTCAGACGAATCCAGTCGGAGTTATATTAAAAATTGTCTTTGATCTTTCAAGCTGTTTAATGCCACTCAGCGGGTGTTGCATTGCTTCAGTCCAAAAGAACTTAAATAAAAATCGCCCATCCATAAAA